TGTATTGTACAAAATTCAGAAGAGTCAACTTTAAAAGATGTAAGCATTCAAGATCAGTGAAAGTCACTAACAGTAAATATAATTTAGTTTATTAGATAAATATCACTTTTCCAATAGTCTTTTATTTAAAAATATTATTCCGTACCACTAAAGTTCTTTAAAATAAACTGCCTTCACGATCACGATCACAATCGTCCTGTTGTTCGTTGATTGCCTCGAGCAGGCCCCAGTAAGGTCTCCTTCGTCCTAGCCCTGAGATTTTTAAAAAGTGCCATATTCAAGGCTCTTTCAGGCTTAGGAGAATGAGACCCATCATTGTTACTGGTATTTGGCATATTGGATATGCCACAGGGAGTTTGCCAGACTCTGCCTTGTGGGTAGGTTACATTCGGTAGCCTGCCAGTTTGTCCAAAGTAAGAATGAGACAGCACTCAAAAGGAGAGAGATAACAAAAGGGAATGCCCTGCTACAGAGGTAGGTGGGGGTGGGAGGATGGGGGGTGGGATGGATACTGGGACTGGTGGTAGTGGAGATTGGGTACTGGTGGAGGGATGGGTATTTGATCATTGTATAACTGAAACCCAAGCACAAAAATTTGTAAGTCTACAACTGTACCTCATGGTATTTCACTAATAAAAAATTTAAGAAAAAAACAAAAAAAACAAAGTAAGAATGAGATAATAAGATGTCGCAAGGCCTCAAATGAGACCGCGCACTTCCAGGAGCTGGGTTTTATAGTCTCTGGGTCTTGGCCGTTGATGGGATTACACGGTGCCAGGGGGCCAGTTGGTGGGTGTGACCCCTGCCTACTGGAATTTGGAGGATCTGGGTGGAGGATGCTCAGCCCCGATTTGAGCAGGCTTGGAGATCTCAGCCCCAGGACCTTCATGACTTTGTTCCTCTGCCGGTACCTTCATGCGTGTAGAGAGTCGTCTCAGCATGGTTGTGGCTAAAACGTTTTGCCTGCAAAAATACTAGTTAGTGAAAACAATTCAAACCACTTCCTCAGAACTTTCTCTAAAATTCATATAGGTGAAAAACTGGTACATTTCTCGGCTCTCTTCAACTTTCCTATGTTAGGTTAAACGTAAAAAAATGGTTTGAATATGTTAAGAAGCCATAACATTAAAGCAGCCACTAATACAGTCGTGGGTCTATATCAGAAATCAAAGGTGAGTTCTTTGTCTAATTCTCATTAAATAAATTGGCTGTGGGCTGGAGAAACAGTACAGGAAGCAGGCACTTGCCTTGTATGCAGCTGTGTTGGCCACCACCCTGATTCAAATTCCCTGAGCACCACAAGGGGGCCCTCCTGAGTAAAAGCCAGAAATAACCCCTGAGCACTGCTGTGTGAGGCTCCCAAACAACAATGAGCTTTTCTAATAGTGAAACAAAAAACAGAACCCTCCACAAGAATTTCACTGAAGGGACGTATGTGCTGAAACGGATGTATAGCAAAGGTATCCAATGGAGTCAAAGGAATGGGGTAGGGTAAAGAAATATGGGAAATAAGCCATACCAATCTAGACAAGGATCATTGACTACTATTACTTATTTGCTCTAACACACACATAGACCCACATTTGGGTTGTTTGGGGGGGGGGAGGGTCATATCTAATGGTGCTTAAGGGTTTCACTTGGCTCTGTGTCCAAGGGACCACATGGTGCCTGGGATTAATCCTGGGCCTCCTGCTTGTGTTCAAACAATGAGCCATCTCTCCAAGCCCTCTGTTGGTGTTTTGTTTGTTTTTTGGGTCACACCTGGCAATGCTCAGGGGTCGCTCCTGGCTCTGCACTCAGAAATTACTCCTGGTGGTAGTCAGGGGACCAAATGGGATGCCAGGGATTGAACCTTGGGTCGGCCGCATGCAATGCAAATGCCCTACCCACTGTACTATCGCTCTGTGCCCACCTCTACAGGTCTTTAAAATTTTATTTACTTTGTTTGTGCTCCTGGTTCTGCACTCAGAAGTCACTCCTGGTAGTGCTCAGAGAATCATATTTGGCACTAGGGATCAAACCCAGGTCCTGTGCAAGGCACAAGGCACATGCTTTACCAGCTATATCTCTCCAACACTCCATCTACTGTTTTTTAGAAGAGGGCCACACTTCCAGGGGGAGTTCAGGCCAACCACCACCATCTATGGCTCTTTCCTGAATGAACACGCAGCTCTCTGGCCAGTTGCCCCAGGTTGGCTTCTCTTTGCTTATGTACCTTCTTCTGCTCTCTGCCAGCAATGTCTGTGGTTCCTGTATATAGATTTTGGTACTGGGCTTCTGGAAGACATGTTGGAACATCATCTGGATTTTCCTTTTGATGCTGAAGTTGGAGCAAATATACAGTGACAAGAACAAAATACAGAACTAATGTTACCAGGGCTAAGAATATGAGAGATAATAGGTGTTATATGAGAGAAAACCAAACCAAGCTAAATAAATACGCAGATGCTGTATTTGTAATCCATCGTGAGAACAACTACTCTCTTCTGTTGCCTCAGAAAGGTAGTACATCTTGAAAATTTCTATTTCATAAGGGTAACTGAAAGACGGTCTAGTAAGAAATACTATAAAGCAACATGTGACCAATGAATTTTTTGGTCCCTTGAGGTAACGTGCAAAATGATATCAATTAGGGTAAAAAGTATGTTGTAATGGCAGATTGCATAGAGAAAAAGGAGTTAGAAGGACATACTTCATCAACAGATCGCGAGAATCATTTCATCCATTTGGCCCTCACCTTAAAATATGTTTTATACAAGAATCTATGCCTGTGAATCTTAAAGTAATTTTCTTGGAAAATGAAATTTCTAGGAAAGACAGTCTTTTCAATGAATAAACAAAAGCAAAAGCAGATGTATACATCATGGTAATAAGATGATTAGAACAACATAAAAACTGAAGGCAAGATAATTGACTTTGTGTTGCTGTTGTTTTTGGGCCACATCTGGTGATGCAAAGGGCTTATCCCTGGTTCTGTAGTCAGGAACTACTCCTAGTGGGCTCGTGGGACTACATGGGATACCAGGGATCAATCCAGGATTGACCGGACCGCTTGCAAGTGCCCTATCCACTGAACAAACGGTCACGGTCCTCCCGTTATTCATAAATTTGCTCGAGCGGGCCCAGTGACGTCTCCATTGTGAGACTTGTTACTGTGTTTGACATATCGAATACATCACGGGGAGCTTGCCAGGCTCTGCCGGGTGGGCGAGATACTCTCGGTAGCTTGTCGGGCTCTCCGAGAGGGGTGGAGGAATCGAACCTGGCTCGGTTGGGCCAGCTGCACACAAGGCAAATGCCCGAGCTGCGCTATTGCTCTATCCCCCACTGAACAAAAAGTGGGCCAAATCGTGGACTACTTATAAGAGGGCTCCAGACTTCTTGGCTTACCACCACCTCTAAAGAGGTTAGCTTTAACACCAACTTTGGGAAATACTGAAATGGTATTAAATAGCTTAAGGACTGTCACATTTAGTGGGTGTGATGAAATAGGAGAAACAGGAATGTTTAAAAAGTCGCCTAGGCTTATACTTTTTTTCCCTGCACATTTTTAGAAAGTAACAAAACGTTGAAGTATTCGATGCTTTCTCCACTAACAGTGATAGTTTTCCTTTGGGTAGTTCTCTTTTCGACACTGTAATTGAAGCAAACACACAGATTAAAACAAAATACAGACCCGTGCTAAGATTTGAGCAATAATGGATATCCTGTAGGAGTTAAACCAAGCAAGTCGGCTATCTATGTCAGATTTAATTAGCCCACAGATCCAGACTCATGCTAATTTGGACACTATTTATTTGTAAACGCGACTCTCGCATCTTCTTTCCCGGACTTGGTTTACCTTCCCAGGCCCTAAATGCAGACAATGCTTGTAAAATGAGGTCTGGAGTTTTGTTTTTCAGACGCTGACTGATTCCCTGGTCTAGATTTCGAAGCCACCAACAGAAGGTGGATGGCTTATAATTGAAAAAGTTTCACAAACACTGCAAACAAAAAAAATTCAGAAAAGTGGAAAGAGTAGATGGGGGGAAAAAATCCTTCTAGGGCACAGTGAAAATGACAAATTATTATTATTATTTTTTTCAAGCCGGGCTTTATACCAGGTACCTATACTGTCTTGACATCACGGTTTAGCTCGAAATTCAGAAAAGTGCAAATAGTAGATGGGGAAAAAGTCCTTCTAGGTCACAATGAAAATGACTAATTATTTTTTAAAGCCGGGCTTTATATCAGGTACCTATAGTGTCTTGACATCACGGTTTAGCTCGAAATTCAGAAAAGTGCAAATAGTAGATGCGGAAAAAGTCCTTCTAGGTCACAAAGAAAATGACTAATTATTATTTTTTTTAAAGCCGGGCTTTACACCAGGTGCCTATCCTGTCTTGACATCACGGCTTAGCGGGCCTGGGAGCCAAATACTGAGCATCCCAGCAAGGTCAAAGGTCCTCAGCGTGCTCTTTCACAAACGCTCCCACCCCCCTCTTAGGAGGGCTTTCCGGGGCAAAACCACCACCCGTCCCGGTTTCCCAGGAGGCTCGTCCGCAGCAACCGGAGAGCCGCGAGGGTGGCCGCTCAGCGCTGCCGCACCTGCGCCCCAGGTGCCGTCGCCAAACGCCGCCCAACAGCCGGAAGCGGAAGCGGAAGCGTCGCGTACACAGACATTGCAGCGAGCGGCGCCGGCGCCTCAGCCGCGCACGCGCAGAGGGAGCTTCGCGCGCTGGGCGGGGGGGGGGGGGGGGCGGGGGCCGGGGGGGGCTGAAGCCCTCACGCTGTCGTCACAGGGCTCCGGAGCCGGGTGCGTCCCTTTTCCTCTCCCGCCTTTGCTTCCGGCCCCGCCCCTCCCCTCCCCGCCTCCCCGGCCCCTCCCTCTCCCGCTCCCTCCCCTCGTCCCTCGCGAGGCTCCGGGCCGCCGCACCGCCGCTCCGCCGCTCCGCCCCCGCTTCCGGTCCGGGCCCCGCCCCTTCCGCTTTCTCGGCGGCGCCTGCGCGTCTGGGGTCGGGCTGGGCCGGCGGGTTCCTCGGGTGGCGTCGCCGCGCGTCGCCGCGCCGCGCCCCGGGGCTCGATGGCGATGAACTACAGCTCCAAGGAGGAGGTGGACGGCGGGCCCCCCTGCGCGCCCGGGGGCCCCGCCAAGAGCCGCCGGCCCGACAACACGGCCTTCAAGCAGCAGCGGCTGCCGGCCTGGCAGCCCATCCTGACGGCGGGCACGGTGCTGCCGACCTTCTTCGTCATCGGCCTCATCTTCATCCCCATCGGCATCGGCATCTTCGTCACCTCCAACAACATCCGCGAGATCGAGGTGAGCGCGCGGGCCGAGCCCTGGCGGCGGCGGCGGCCCCGGCCCCGGCCCCGGCCCAGGCCCACGCCCTCCTCGGCCGCCGCCGCCGCCGCCGCCGGGTGACAGAAGGGCCCGCCCCGCCCCGCGCCCCGCGCCCCGCGCCCCGCGCCCCGCGCCCCGCGCCCCGCGCCCCGCGCCCCGCGCCCCGCGCCCCGCGCCCCGCGCCGCACCTGCCCTCCGCCAGCCCCCGGCCCCCTCGCCGGGCTCTCTGTGTGTCTGTGTGTGTGTGTGGTTGTGGAGTCGGCAGTGCGGTCCTCTGTCCTTTGCGTGTGTGCGTGTGTGTGTGCGTCGCTGGAGTTGGCACTTTTGTTCCCTGTCCTCTCTGTGTGTGTGTGTGTGTGTGTGTGTGGAGGTGGCAGTTTGGTCCTCTGTCCTTTGCGTGTGTGTGTTGCTGGAGTTGGTACTTTTGTTCTCTGTTGTGTGTGTGTGGTTGTGTAGGTAACTGGCAGTGTGGTCCTCTATCCTTTATGTGTGTGTGCGTCGCAGGAGTTGGCACTTTTGTTCCCTGTCCTCTGTGTGTGTGTGTGTGTGTGTGTGTGTGGAGTTGGCAGTTTGGTCCTCTGTCCTTTGCGTGTGTGTGTGTCGCTGGAGTTGGCACTTTTGTTCTCTGTTGTGTGTGTGTGTGGTTGTGTAGTTGGCAGTGTAGTCCTTTGCGTGTGTGTTTGCGTCGCTGGAGTTGGTACTTTTGTTCCCTGTCATGTGTGTGGAGTTAGCAGTTTTGCTCCCTGTCCTCTGTGTGTATGTGTGAGTGTGTTTATGTGTATGTGTTTGTCTATCTGTCTGTGTGTCTCTCTTTGTCTCTGGAGTTTGCAGTTTTTTCCCCAGCCCTCTGCATATGTGTGTGCACACTGCCGAAGTTAGCTATTTTGTTCCCTGTCCTCTGTGTGTGTGTGTGTGTGTCTGTCTGTCTGTCTGTCAGTCTCTGTGCATCTGTCTCTGGAGTTTGCAGTTTTGTCCTCTGCGTGTGTGTATGTGGCTGAAGTTTGCAGTTTCTTTCCTGTCTTCTGTGTATGTGTGTGTGTGTGTGTCTGTCTGTCTGTCTGTCTGTCTGTCTGTGTCTCTGTTTACTGGAAGAGGTTGGTCTTGTGTTGCTCAGTCACCTGGTGAGAACACGGACAGTTTGCAGTTGTGTGTGTGGCTGGAGTTTGCACTTTTGTTCCCTGTTCTCTGTGTGCGTGTGTGTGTGTGTGTGTCTGTCTGTCTGTCTTTTGAGTTAGCAGTTTTGTCCTCTGCCCTCTGTCTATGTGTATGTCTTTGTCGCTGGAGTGCTGGAGTTTGCAGTTTTGTCTCTTGCTGGCGGTTTCACACAGGGATGGGAAGAGTGCTTCAAGCAGAGGATGATGCGCTGAAGAATGGTTGTAGAATGTTTCCATAGGAGGGATTTTTTTTACCTGCAGTGGTGCTTTTTGGGAAAAAAAAAAAAAAAAAAGAAACAACCCAGCAGCTGAAAAAAAAATCAGATAGGCGTGGGAAACACGGAAGTGATATGTAGATGTTCCTTCAGGAGAACTGTCATGGCCAGAGTCATGGGGTAGAGTCGCAGGATACAGACATGAACAATTTTGGCTGTTGCTTGGGAGACAGCCCTAGAATCATTGACAGCCTTCTTTGTTCCCCTTTCTCTTCCTTTGTTGGTACTGATAACGTTTACTGGAAGAGGTTGGTCTTGTGTTGCTCAGTCACCTGGTGAGAACACCGAAGTGTGTCCTGCACTTTCATTTTAAGGTAATCGTTGGAGGACAGAGTCGAGGGTAGCCCAAAACTTTGATTCTTGTTTTGCTCTTAGACTGCCTTCAATAAAAATGAATGCTCTACATTTGCTCTAGATTTTTTATGTCGTTCAGTTTAGTAGCTACTTAACGGAGAGCAAATTTTGCGAATACTTGACAGTTTACCACGAGACATAAGAGAAACTTGGGGGAGCATCTTGACTTGTCACCAGCTCTCAGGGTCCCTTTGTTGGGAGACAATAGGCTGGTGATATTAGAATGCAAATACTTTTTGTTTAGATGTTCTGTATTAATTATCTGATTATTCTCATTGCTTATCAGCTATAATATACATATATACACAATATATATATATATACACACACACACATGTGGCTAGAGCGATAGCACAGTAGGTAGGGCGTTTGCACGTGGCCAACTCGGGCCAAGCCAGGTTTGATTCCTTTCTGAGATCCCGGCAAGCTTCTGAGAGTATCGTGCCCACATGGCAAAGCCTGGCAAGCTACCTGTGACGTATTCGATATGCCAAAAACAGTAACAAGAAGTCTGACAATGGAGACATTACTGGTGGCCGCTTGGGAGGACAGTGCTAGTGCTACAATATATCAAAGTGTATATTTTTTCTAAAGAAATATTCGCATTTTATTTCTTACTAATTTTGTTTGGGGGCCACACCCAGTGATGTTTGGGGTTTGTTTGGGTCTACTCCCAGGTCTGTTCTTGGGATTTGTTCCTTATGTCCTTTAGGGGGGACTGGGCAGTGCCAGAAATCAAATCTGGGCATTCCACACGCAATGCATGCTTTGTGTATGCTTAGCCCATTGAGCTCTCTCTCCAGTCTGAATTTTTTTTTTAATGTATTAATGCAATTATTTTTCCTCCCCACTAAAGATTATGTATATTTTGTTGATTTTCAGATTCCCCATATTAATACAAGCATTAGACAATTGTATTTACTAATTTTATCAATATTTATTTATTTATTGGTTTTTGAGTCACACCGGGCAATGCTCAGGGGTTACTCCTGACTCTGAGCTCAGGAATTACTCCTGGTGGTGCTCGGGGGACCTTACAGTATGCTGGGGATCGAACCCAGACCAGCTGCATGCAAGGCAGATGCCCTAATTGCTGTACTATATCTCCGGCCCCTAATTTTATCATTCTTAAAAAAAAATTACTTAATATATCGTTTAGCAATAAGAGCATTTACACTAAGCATGAAACGACTATTTCCTTCATTTTTTACAATATCAGAATCCAAACATCTTTTTGCCACAGAAGGTAATAGTGTTTTTCTAGTCTGGAACTCTAGTAAGGATGATGATACCTTGAGTATAGATAACTCTGCAAAGGCATTTGTTAGTGTGAAATTACATAGTTTTAACTTGATCGTTAAAACTGAATAAACACATTTAGAATAATGTTAAGAGTACATTTTAAAACTAAACATGTACTTCACATATAATATTGCCAAGCTTTCCGGGTACTTCGTCATTAGGGGTTAGTGGGTTGGTATCTGCTGCTCCTCACCCCAAGGATTGCTGTAGAAATCCCGAATCTCCTTTTCTAAATCTTGTTGTTGATTCCTTGACCATCCTCAATGATTTAATCCTATTGTTTCCCCTGGTTTCTGATAATGTCTTTATTCTTTTCTGGATATCTTGGTTTTTAGATTCTAGAACTTTTAACAGGATTGAAACTCCTGTGGTTAGTATTCTTATTTATGCTTTATAGCTCTATGGAAGTTAAGTAAAAGCAAGTTGCTTTACAGAATTAATGCTAAAGTATTTTCTTTTAAGTTTAAAGGTTTTCAGTATTCAAATTAACTGCTTTGCTTGGTGTGACTCTTGAAAATTTAGAGGTTTGTAGCCTTAGTGCTTTAATTTGCTTCCCAAGAACTTTAGTATTTATATAAAGCATGATGAAATGAATATGGTCCATAAGACTATTTTTGTAAGGCCTCAGACCTAAGAATGATTTCACAGAGGAATATTTGCTATTGATTTTAGATAGGCAACACTAACTTTTTGAACCTCAGTTATGCAACATGTACAGCAGATAAGGGCACTTACCTTTCATGTGGCTGACCCTGGTATGTGGCTGACCCTGGTATGACCCAGCATACCATATGGAACTCTGAGCACTACCAGGAGTACTCCCTGAGTGCACAGAGGAGTAACCCCTGAGCACTGCCGGGTGTAACCCAAAGAACAAAAAACAAAAAAAAAGAATTGCAGGACCTGGAAATCCACTGGGATTATGGCACATGCCTTGCTTGAGGTCAACCCTGGTTTGATCCTCAACACCACATTTTCTCCTCAAAGTTTCTGGGTGCAGCGCTAATGGCCCCTATGCATCTCCCAGGTGGCCCACGTTATCCCCACGCAGCACTGGATATCACCTTAAGGCCTGAACAGCACCAAATGCTCAAAGCCTCAGTGAAACACCCACCCATAGAGGAGAATCACTGGGAGAGGTCCCCCAGGCCTCCTGAGTGCCACCCTTGGGGACTTCCCAGAACCTTTCCAAATGGAAACAGAACATCAGTTTTTAAATTAGTATTGCCATTTTTCTGAGGCAGAAAATAGTATATAATCACCATTACTGTATTATATTTTGAATTTCATAATAATAAGTTGTGCAAATTTGTTTTCTTTCCTGTTGGATAAGAATCTGCGTGTTTTCCTGACCTTGCCTCTTGATCTGCACAGCCTAAAATATTTACTTTCTAACCCTTTTCAGAAAAGAATTTCCTGCTCTTAGAGTTTTAAAGAAATGTGCTGCCAAAGTAAGCACCTATTTAAAAAATAAAAAATCAGCTATTTAACATTTAGATTCTAACCCTCAGTAATCTTTAAGGATGTAGGTGTAATGATCCTTGATAATTGCCATGTCTACCTTCTTTATTCAAATTTAGTGTACATGAACTACCTTAGCTAGATTTACCACCTTAGTTCAGGTAACATTTCCTTCATTTCTTTTTCACAGATTAAAAGTTCAAGCGATGTGAAAAACATTGCTTTTGAAACTTTTTAGCGCTTCTTTCTAGAATGGACTTTGGATAAATTCTTTTGTGTAAATAATCAGTTCAAAAGGATACTTTAAATGCTTTACATAAAAAAAAAAACTTAATCTGTTTAATGCTTAAAATGATTTACCTCATTACTCAGCATTTTGTTGAGTGACCTGTTTAGGTCTTACATTGATTTCCTTTAAGGCAGATTTACATTC